ACCTCATAGCAGCCTTCCAGTATCTGAAGGGGGCCTATAGGGATGCTGGAGAGGGACTCTTCATTAGAGACTGTAGTGACAGGACAAGGGGTAACGGGTTAAAACTTAAACAGGGGAAGTTTAGGTTGGATATAAGAAGGAAATTCTTTCCTGTTAGGGTGATGAGGCACTGGAATGGGTTGTCCAGGGAGGTTGTGAATGCTCCATCCCTGGCAAGTGTTCAAGACCACGTTGGACGAGGCCTTGGGTGATATGATTTAGTGTAAGGTGTCCCTGCCCATGGCAGGGGGGTTGGAACTAGATGATCTTAAGGTCCTTTCCAACCCTAACTGTTCTATGGTTCTATGATCAGTACTGGCTAATGCTAACCCTTGGCTATTGCGTAGTGGGGGCTGCAGGTGATAGCCCAGGTCTATAGAGCACAAGACAAGTTACATGGCCAGTCGTTTCCCTCCATTCTCCCAGGTCTTTGCTTGCTGTGTGTATTAGTTTGGCTTTTCTAACCCATCTGTTAGATGGGAATAGCCTCACACCCCTGTTGCTAGACAGCCTCACAAAATTATTTATAAATTCATTTTTTGTGACATGCAAGAGATCATTTTGTCCTATGACAAATAAGTATGTAGGTGACATTTCAGGCTCAGGGAGACAGGCAGAAGCACCCTGCTTCTTCTCAGTAGTGTAAAAAGCATGACTTTGTTCAGCATGGGAAAGACTTTTAAAATGAAGACTCCTGTTGTGATGTCTTCATAATTTATCAGGAAGATTTACATTTGTAGTGCCAGAGTGTTCTTTGGGGTTCATTTGTCAAGGGGTATTAATTGGTTGAATCAAGATGGGTATTTCTGAAGCGCATACTATAGAGCTAGATCCCGTGAGCACTTCCCCACTATCTTGGGAATCCCGCTGGAGCAGACTATATTGTCAGGGTTGCCATGGCTTTTCTTACTGTTCTGGATTTCTGCCAGAATACTATAAATAGCTGAAGAGGCGAGTGGCTTACCAGGAGGACAGTGACTTGCGTGTAGGCTCGCTGCAAGTTTTGTTGCAGAATGAAAGAATAGACTGTTGGCGTCTTTTTTTGCTTTGTAGTTGCTCAGTGGCTATTGCCTCATAAAAGGTATTTTTCTGGGCTGCTTCACAGTGTTTGGTGTTATGAATATATGTGTATATATGTACCGTTTACCATTATTTGGACTGTGGTAACTCCTCTAATAAACTGATAAATTTCAAAAACCTGTGGCTGCAGTTCCTTGCTGCCATCACCCTCTTCAAAGCCGTTCTTTCTTAAAAGCTCTCATTCTGATCAAGCATAAAAATTCTAGGGAAATAAGGCTGTAATTTTTCTCCATTTTAATGGTGTGTGTGCTGTCACTTTGCAAATAGAATCAAATGATCTCATGGTTTCACTATAAGTTTTATGTGTGGTTTTTTTTTTTTTTTAACTCTTGGCTCTCTTGGGTGCTGATCACCTGGTTCTGCTGGCATTTTACATTTACTTCACTTTCAGACAGATCTACTACCAAGTCTCTTCTTTCCAGTCTCACTCAAAGGCTTTGCTTTCATTTTTCTGCTGTAGAGACGCTTGATGTAAATACGCAATTTAGATTCCTTGCAGTATCTCCAGCTTTTCTGTATATTCCTTTTGTGTGCTGTTGTTTGATTCTACATGCATTTTGCTCCCAGATAACTGATTCTGTAAGGTAATTGTTTTTCTAACTCGACCTGCCTAGGATTTTTTTGCCTTCCTAATTAGAACTTTTTAAATCCAGCGCAGTCTATTTTTGGAATATCCAGATAGCAAGATAGACTATTCATAACAGTGTAAGTCCTGCTCAGCTAGTGTCATTATCTAGGGGTGAAGGGAGAGTAAACGTTGAGAAGAAATGTTGAACAAAATGGTTCATGGCATCTGTTTAAGTAGAGCTCTGTTGGTGGGAGTTTTGCAATTGTAAATGAGACGTCATTCAGGCCATAAGAAGGTGATTTGTATGAAATAGTTTATAACATCGTGCATGTACCACTGTGCATTTATGTTTCGTGAATAAACTAGAGGTTTTTGATGAAGTTATGTATTCCAGTAATTAATTACAACAATGCCAGTGAGCAGGAAAAAACAGCTTGAGAAAATTGCCTGAGAGTATTGGCAAGTTGTTCTTTCTGCTGCTTACCAGTGTGCCAGTGATCTGCCTAAAGACATGGGAAGACCCTTTAGAGGAGCCACCAGAGCTTTAGGGAGGAAGCTCTTGTCATAAAGACAGGGCAGACTCCAGTATTGCCGAGATCTCTGGTGTTTCTCGATATTGCTATAAAAAGAAAACAAACAGGAAATGAACTAAACCTGTATTTCTCAGTTTGGCATGTAGCCTTTGGAAGGGGGGAGTTTGGAGTGTTACAAATTGGATGTCTCTTTCAAAGAACCTAAGGACAAGATGAGGGAAATCAAATGTTGTCTTACAATGCTGTTTGACTTTTACTTGACCTGATTTTAACTAGAAAAGTTCTAGATTTAACACAAATGCTTTAAATAAATCCTTCTGGTATTAAGAAAAAAAAAAGTAAAAAAGGCCAGTCACCCAGTGCAACTCATTCATATTTGGTTAAATTGAATATGATCACTTGATCCTCAGTACTGCTCATTATGACAGAACCTGTCCTGAAACTTTAAGTAAAAGGATTTTATGGTGCTTCTGGTTCACTGGTTGTGTATAGAATTAGCAGATTGGATGCAAAACCCCCCAAACTTCGACTCAAACTTTTGATACATGATTTCCAGAGGTAGTATTTCTTGCAGTTTGTGTTGTGGGGTTGGGATTTGGGTGTGCTGCTTCTCTGCCCCCTCCTTTTTTTCCCTTTTTTCTTTTTTTTTTTTTTTTAATCTTCTGTGGAAGCCTTTTACTGCTCTTTACAGTGACTCTGCCTGAGGATGTCATTGATGAGGTACCGGATAAATTCTGCAAGTGGAAATTCTAGCCCAGCATGGCCAAACACCTTGTCAGCGTGCCATAACATACAGCAGAAAGAAATGTTGTATTTCCTCATTTCCTGAGCAAAGTGAATTGGCTGTGCACTGAGCAGTTCTCTCAACTATAAACGTCTGAGTAGAGTAGAAACAAGTTCCAGTTGTCTGCGGTTCATGGTGGTCAGTGGTTGTAATCTCACTGTTGAGGTTCATGGGAAGTGTAGGCTCTGACTTGGAGACTCATTTTTTTCATTCTATTTTATTTTTCTCCTTCTTGTACCCCATGACATTTCACACAACTGTTAACTTTAGTGGCTGTCTATGTATTGTATGAGATCTCACAGCAACTTAGTGTGCATTGCCAGTTAGTGCTGGTCTGACGCTAAGAAAACCAAATATGTAACGTAATACAAGAGAGCGACAACTGGAAATGTTTTGTGCTTTGAAATGAGATGGGTGGAGGGCAGGAGGGTGCTGGAGGACTCTCCCTTCCAAACACATCCAGGCTGTGAAAAAGCCCTGCTGCATCACTTAAGGGGAAAACTGAAGAGAAAGCAGCGCACTGCAGCAGGCAGCAATGCATCTGTTTGTAGCCAGCGTCTTGTTTTTCATCAGATGATAATACTGATACACATCCGTCAGTTCAGTCTGCAGTTAATGTGTCAGAACTTTAAAAAAAACAAAGCCAACCAAACAAAAATCCCGCTTGATTCTTCTGACTGTAGTTGACCAAGTGAGAATCTGCCAACCACTTGGTTCAGGCGGCTTCTTCTAAGCCCGCCTGAGAAAAAAAAAAGGCTTAATTTTAGCGAACCCATGTTGTTAAACACTTGCGTGACAAGCTCCTGTTCATCCTGCTCTGCTCTTCTTACATGTTTGAGGTTTGTTTGTAAAGCAGATTATGGAGAATGTTAGTGGCATGCTTAGAAAAATGCAGTGCTGCAAGGTGACAGGTTCTGAAGAACCAGTGTTAGTAATAAGAAAATGTAAAAAAAGGCTGAAATAAAATGTTTCAAACTCTTTTAGCTTCATGTGAGATCAAGGATTTCCTTAATTACCAAGTATTTCCTTAATTTTTCTGTGCTGTGTGAGAAGCTTTTCATTAGCTGGTTTGCTCTAGGGAGTTCAGGATTCAAGCGAATCACCCTATGGAATGGCAACACCAGGATGGGCAAGATTTCAGCAGCTTGTATATTTCTGAGGGTTGCGCTGATGTCAGAATGTCAGTGTAGGTAACTAATGACCTGCAGCAGCTGAGCCATGACAGCTCTCGCACTCCAGACAGTAAGGTATTTCTAATAACTGTTGCAGAAATAAAGGCTTTTGGTTTCTGGTGAAATTAGAAATCCAGAAAGGAGTGGAAAGCTTTTAGAGGCCAAAGGGACTCACAGGCAGAACAGAGGACAATGAGGAAGTTCATACAACAGTTGTATTTAGGAGAAAGCATCTGTCAGGCTTTTGGTTTATGTTCCCATTCTCACTGTTTCCAGTCTGTGTTTGGTTTAAGAAGTGGATTAAGCTATATGGTACACAAGCACATTGTGCAGCTCAGCCTGCTGAGTACTTTTGTTTTCTCTGTTTAGGAGTCACACATAACTTTATTTTATTGAATATTTCTGGTATTGCACTTCCTTTATTACAAGAGGAAATGTGTTAATGTGTGCTTGGAATTGTTTGGTTTCTTTTTCACCCCTGTTTCTGGAAATTCTCGTCCAACCAGCTCAGTAACACTGTTTTGGTTTTGGCAGATAGAGAATGGGAAGTAGTTTTGCCAGTATTGCTTACACGGAGCTCCGCCAGGTGACACTGCCACCCTTTGGCCTTTGTCATGTAAAGGTTTCCTTTGCTGGTCTGACAAAGAAGAAATGATCTCAATCTTTCATGAACCAATCATGTTGCCATTAGTTTATAGAAGTCATGGATTGGGTCAGGTGCAAATTGTTTTAAGAGAAATTCTGGTTCTGTTTGGGTTTTGTTTCTGTTTTTTTTTGTTTGTTTCTTTTTTTTTTGTAAAAATGAGTATTTTTCTTTTCCATAGGTTCTTTACAGAGCTTGAAGCAAGGCATCAGAACAACATCTTTATTGATGATATCAGTGATATAGTTGAAAAGCATTCTTCTTCAACATTTGATCCCTATGTCAAATACTGCACCAATGAAGTCTATCAGCAGCGAACACTGCAGAGATTACTGTAAGAGCTAATTTTAAAATATGGTTGCAAAATTGCCTCTTTTCTAGTAGGAGTGAATAGTAGGCTGTGGTATTTTGTGCAAAACCTGGCTTCCAGCTAAGCATGTGCTTACCTGCCTAGTTTTTCTTAATGTGCAAGTTCCTTTGAAGTTATTGAGCTGTGCCTGGCTTCAAGGGCCAGTCCTGATTGTGGTCCTGTGTTCCATACCCTGGTGTCGTGGTTTAAAACCAGTCAGAGGGCTCCTTCGCTCACTTCCCCCCCTTCTTGCCCTCCCCCTACTCCCAGAGGGACAGAGAGGAGAATCAAAAAGAATGCAACTCCCACGGGTTGAGATAAGAACAGTTTAGTAACTAAAGTGTAACACAAACCGCTGCTGCTACCACCAATAATAACAATGATAAAGGAAATAACGAGGGAAGAGAATACATCACGTCACCACCAGCCAACCAGTAACTTGCCCCCCAGCCCGACCAAGCACCGACCGATACCTCCTCCAACCCTGCAGTGTCCCAGCCCTTCCAGCTAACTCCCAGTTACATCCTGGGCATGACGTGCTGTGGTATGGTATACCTCTTTGGTCAGTTTGGGTCAGGTGTCCTGTCTCTGCTTCCTCCCGGCTTCCCCTCCTCCCTGGCAGAGTGCGAGGCTCACAAAATCCTTGGCCAAACCAAAATCAGCTCTGCTCCCAGGCCGAAAGTCAAAACACTGCACTGCACCAGCTACCAAGGAGGAGAAAAATGACTGCTACTGCTGAACCCAGGACACCTGGCCACTGATACGTGCGGTTTAATCAGTGTCAAAGACACACTCTCCTTGTCTATTACGTGGGAGTCTGTTCATGTGTGGGAGCAGCTGAAGTTTCCAAATGTCAATCGTGGTCTAGCATATCTAAGTAAATAAAGCTGAAGGCTTAATTGATATGACTCCTTCACAGCACACTTTCCTATTAATAAAATAATGATTTATTTAAAATCTAGCAACTTTCACAATTCTTTAGTAAAACTTACCATTTAATTCTCTCCCACCTTTTTTCACCAGAGCCACAAATCCGGCCTTTAAAGAGGTGTTATCACGGATTGAGTCCCATGAAGACTGTCGGAATTTACCAATGATCTCTTTCCTCATTCTTCCCATGCAGAGAGTTACTCGTCTTCCCTTACTGATGGATGTGAGAACAGTTATTTTTCTATTTGTCCGTGATGCATGTTCTGTTAATGTTAGCCTTCTTGCAATTCCTAGCTCATTCCAGTCTTTTCACATCTTCTTACTTCTACCAAGTACAGGCTGTAGATGGTCTACTGGTTATGAATTACTGTTGCATTTGTTTGCTTGCTGTGATTGGTACCTTCTGCTCCTGATGCCCCTTTCTAAAGTTAAATATTTAAACATTCTAATAGAGAAACTTTACAGTAAATGGTCAAAATTAATCTGACCCCAAGGAGGAATCCAACACAGAAACTTTGCATAGTGTTAGGACTAAAATCAAACCCTACAGTTTAGAAAACAAGAGTTTCCATTGTACAGATTAGGTAAGGACCCTTCTGCAGTAAATACTTACTTTCAGGAAGAAGGTCACAGAGTAGCGCTGAAGAATGAGCTCTGTACTTGAGGGCACAGGAACTGTTCGTAGATGGAACAGCATCAACACACGCTATTTCTCACCACCTTGTTACACTGTGGGCATTCCCTTCCTGTGCAAGTTACTAGGTGCCTTAGGAAGTGCAAGTGAGTACTTCTGAAGCAAAGCTTTCGTGAGGCCTCACTTGGAGTACTGTATACGGTTCTAGTGTCCTCAACTTAAAAAGGACATGGAACTGTTGGAACAAGTCCAGAGGAGGGCCACCAGCATTATCAGGGGACTGAAGCACCTCCCCTATGAAGATAGGCTGAGACCTCATAGCAGCCTTCCAGTATCTGAAAGGGGCCTATAGGGATGCTGGGGAAGGACTCTTCATTAGGGACTGTAGTGACAGGACAAGGGGTAATGGGCTAAAACTTAAGGGAAGTTTAGGTTGGATATAAGGAAGGAATTCTTTCCTGTTAGGGTGGTGAGGCACTGGAATGGGTTGCTCAGGGAAGTTGTGAATGCTCCACCCCTCCTGGTGTTCAAGACCAGGTTGGATGAAAAGGCTTGGGTGACATGGTTAAGTGAGGTGTCCCTGCCCATGGTAGGGGGGTTGGAACTAGATGATCTTAAGGTCCTTTCCAACCCTAACTATTCTATTTTTCTAAAGTTCACACCAGGATTCCTGGCATTTCTGATAAAATGCTAGAACTAAACTTATGAGGTGGACATCAGCAGTAGTGCAGGTAAAAATCCAGGCTCTGGTTCTGGCATTGGAGAGGTCTACAAACGGGACAACTAATTTTGTTCTGCTACATATTTGCAAACTATGCATTGATTAATTTGATCATCTGGACAGTATCATAGTTCATTCATGGACATTGGGTGCTCTCTTCTCTACAGTACATTTCTAGGTAAAAAATGGCATCGTAACTCAGTATTACTGTGGTGTGTCCCTAGGTGGGCCTTCTCCTTCTTGTTTTTTTTTCTCCTCTTCCCCCTCTTGAGCTAAAAGCATCTAAACAAGCAAACCAAGCATTTTATTTTCCACTGTCCAGTTTGTTTCATTTGTTTGTTTTTCTTGGATATTGTTGTGTAAACCTTACATTGAGACTTCCAGTGAGTATGATTTTTAAGGCTTCAGTATCAGAACTATGGCTTCAACTACATTCAGAGGAGAGAACATACTTAAACCACAGACTAATTTAAAGTAAAATATCATAAAATGTTTTTGTTTCTCAGTAAAGTAATTTATCTGGTCTGTCATTGACTGCCTGTTTCTGGTGGGGCTTCATCTCTAACTGGTAAGAATGAGCTCTGCAAATAGATGTAACAATTATGTAAATCATGGATTGGATTTACTTCTCATTGCTTTCCAGCACTTCCTCTGTTTGGATGCTGCAGCTGTGCTCCCTTCCATGTGCTTTTTTGTTCTAATAAGATAATACTGATGTATATATTTTTTTCCTGGTTCTTGTACCAGTGTTGCCTGAAGAGCATTTTCTTCTGTTAATCCTTTGGAAACACCTTCTATGGAGAGGTCAGACAGAGTAAGCTAGTACAGTTTTCTTACTGGAAGTGCCATTGTAAATAACTGGGTATTTCAACTTCCAGGAAAAGCTTAACACTGGAACAGGAAGGACCTGGTTCTGTATGGCTGTAGTGGGATTTGTTGTGGGTTTACAGAAGTTGGAGATAAGTTGGTGAATCTTCCCCTGTCCTGGGAGGGTGAAGCCTCATTCTCCCACTGTGCTGCTGTTGTGGAGATGGGCTACAAGATGCAAAACACTGTGTGGCTCCAAAGGCTTTCAGAGGAGGTGTTCTGCTGGTGTGACAAATCGCTCTTGAGGAAGTGATCCAGTGTTCTCTCATTGATCTGTCCCAGCTGTGACTTCACCTCTGATTTCAATTAATATGTATGTGCAGTTCTGTGTTTGTCACAGCCTGTGCTTCCTAGTCCTCTGAAGTCACTGACATTTTATTTCAGACCATTTGTCAGAAGACTCCCAAGGATTCATCAAAATATGAGAACTGTAAGCAGGCTCTGAAAGAAGTGAGCAAGGTAAGTTCTTCAATTTAATTTGGATGCAGAAGCTTTTCTGCTTTGACTGTTCTTCTGAAATCATGCTGTATACTTTTGTCATTTTGGAAGCCCACTGTGAGAGGTGGCTGGGTTTGGGTTATTTTAGTCACCTGATAATTAATTACCATGTTATTACTCATCTTGTTCACCTGTTTCATTATGTAGTTGGGCACACTTGTTCTGTTTGCTACCACTCCTGATGACAGAAAGCTGTATGGCAGGACCAGGCATACCAAAAAAGCCCAAGCCCTGTCCTGACAGTAGAGAAAAGAAAGGCTTGAGTTTCTCTGGAAGATTCCAGATTCTTTCTGCTTTTATTGTAAATTAACCAGCTCACCTCTTGTCAGTGGCCCAAAGTTGTTCTCTCTCCTGGAGTCACACTTTTTTGCCAAGAATCAGTGGTTGCGAAGAGGAGCCCAAGTCCATTTTCCACGCACAGACTGTAAATTTCAACAGCCCTTGTAGAATAAATTTTACTTCCTTCCATGTGGACCCGAGAAATCAGATTACCTTTTTTAATTGGTGGGAAATTCCAGTCTATCCATTTAATATATTCTGGAAATTGTCAGCTCCTTAAACCAAAACATGGTGGCATGAAAAGAAAACCTGAGGATCTAAGAACTGGTTATTTTTTGCCACCAAGATCTCAGAATTTCAGAAAGTGCAGTGCATCAGGGACTGCTGCGAATGGGAAGTGCCTGCTGTGCTTTAGTAAAGCAAAACAAATCTAGCAAGTTGTGGCTAGACATTACCTTGGGCCTAGAACATCCTTATCTACTTTAAGGGAAAATGGATGATTTCCATGCATAAATAATGCAAACGGGAAGAGCACTGAAGCATAAAACTGCTAAATTCTTTTATTTAAGAAAGGCCACTAGGGATCGGTTTTAGGCCTAAATTACTGTTTGGTTATTACTTAAGAAGGTATTCTAAACCCGGCAGCATTGTGCTGCTGCCACCACAGCTGGGTTTTCCTGCAGGAACAGTGTACGGTGTGTGAAGTGCCGGGCTATAGAAGCGGAAGAGGCCAGTTGATGGTTGGGAAGACCATGTGTGATGATGTGGGGTTATAGGGAATGTGTTTTCATGCCCTTCCATCTTTGCCCGCTGTTTTTACCTGCTCCCCAACCCCATGTGCAGACTTCAGGGAAACTGTAGCCTGCTGTAAGACTGCAGACTCTGAAGGTCTGCTGTAATGAAACCTTTTCTGGGGTACTGTTTGCTTTAGCTTAACAAGCTGGTCGCACAATGCCTCGGGGGGGGCTGCCGAATGCGTGTGGTGGACATGGCAGCATGTTGTCCTGCTGCGCCAGTCTGAAGGTTGCTTGTTTTGGAGCTGATCATTAACTTGGGCAGAGCTGTGGCCATTCTCCATCAGAACTTTGAGCTGAACCTTTGTACCATATGGATGCCCCTGAAGAATAAATAATTATTGTAGCAGTATTGGATAACGCAGGTTGAGGGGGACCTTCGGTCATGCAGCCTCAAAGCAAGAATTGCTGTCAAGTCAGACCTGGTCACTCAGGGCTGCATTGTCTGGTCTTGGAAACATTATGGCTGTGACCCAGCATGAAAATCTCATTCCTGTGTCAATTTTATGCTCCCCCAGAAATGTACTTTATAAATCTACAAAAGTTTGTATTACAGATCTTGAGTACATGAAGCCTGTTAGATAAATGTCTCTTTTTCTTAGCTGGTGCGTTTGTGCAATGAAGGTGCTCGGAAAATGGAAAGGACAGAAATGATGTACACAATTAACTCCCAGCTGGAATTTAAAATCAAGGTACCATGATTATATTTGTTACCATAAATCATGTAGCACATGAATAGCATGTTAAGTGTTAATAGGATCATTGCCAGCATAAAAGTAATTAGTGCAGGCTGTAATACTGACATGACCATTCAGCCAAGGAACCAAGTTTAGATTCTGGAGCAGGTGAAGCTCTGGAAATTCAGAGTAAGTAGGGCCTGTTGGACTTTGAATTGCTCTTTTGTCTCTGTCTTTCCTCCTCACATAAAACAAATCCGGAAGACTGCACAGCATCATTTCTAATGTGGGCAGGAATTGTTGCAGCTCTCCACTGCAAATGGAGGCCATTGAAAAATATGTCTGCTTAACTGAGTAGTTGCTGAAGTCTCTTGAGAGTGGGAACTTGTTGGAAGAATGAAAGAATTGTTTTGGGGGAGCTATTGCATCATGAAGCAGTTTGGCTTCTCATTTTGGCATGTGCTCTGGCAGTGTGTGGAGATGTTCTGGTAAGTTTATCATACCTGAATTGACTTTTCTGTAAGCTGTAGATATATAAATATAGCTGTAGATATTTTTAAGGTTTTGCTTAGATTTCTGGCTGTAGGTGAAGAACAAATTGTGTTTGTCTCTAAAGGGTACAGCAGTGTTTGTAATTGATACAGCAAACAGTGGAACTTTAATAGCCTCTGTGCTACACAGTAATTGTTGCAAAGAAATTATCTGTTATGGCAGGATTAAAGTTAAACCTTTTGTCAGGTATTTTCATTTCAAGTAGAATGATTATGTTACAGCAAAATCTTTTTTATACATATATTGAATTAAGTATTCTTTGCTGTGAAGATAAGTTGCTATGAAAATGTTGCTGTTGGGAGAGAGACCAGCTGCTGCTGCTTGGTGTGGAGATGGTCCTATATGTGATAGGAACAGTATGTCTGAGTGATTACTTTGACATCAGGAGGAATCCTAATTGTGTTTGACTATCTGGATTCACAGCAGCATGAAATAAAAACCCAGGTCCATTTCTGGTCAGCTCAGGACATGTTGCTTGGAATCCTGGTCTGTTTCTACAACATTCTGATAGTCTGCTGTGAAGACTGCCTGTCTGAGGCACCATGCTTTTTGTGTGAGCTGCCTGAGGGGAGGGTAGCATTGGGGTGCTGCACAGCACAGCACTCAGGAGCTGCTACAGGGAGAGCCCAGCACCCTGCTTGGAGGTCATGCCTGCAGGCAGGAGTCACCTGCCTTTGCCTGTGACAGCACATGGGGGGCCAGCAGCAGCTGCCAGGACCAAAACAGTGCGATGCCCACCTGAAATACCAGGCAGCTTCCATGAGGTGAAATCAGTTAAGCTAAACTACACCTGTATTAATACAGTTCACTGTGATAATGCCAAGGTTTTGTCTTGCTTTACAGGTATACTCAGATAACCCTCAGATAACTGTAAAGAGTCTTAGGAGGCTGAGAGATTCCAATTTTTTTCTAGTATTGAAAATGAAATCTAGGCTTTTATTAAAAAAAGAAATTCTCTACAATTATTTTTTTGGTAGGAGCAAAGAGCAGCAGCCATGGTCATAGTTGATCTGACAGGACTTTGGGGAGCCTGACACCCTTGGGTGACCTGCTCAGCGGTTTCATTCGTGCATTTTGAATCTGCAGAAGTGCCCAGCAGGGCCTGAATGGGGATCCCAACCTCATAGGAGCAGGAGGCTCTGTGTGACTCATCCCTGTGTGTGTGGTCACTTGCAGCCCTCACCAGCTTCATGGCAGTGAAACTGCTTCATGTATGTTGTTTTCTGTGTTTTTTAATGCACGTTTTTAATTTGTGCATCTTAAATGTGCACTTAGTGGTTCAGACCTTATCTGTGGTTTGAGAGCTTGCCAGCTGGTGTATAAAAGACTGCTTTGGCTGCATTTCAGCACATTTTTAAGTTCTGGCAGCTTGTTTTATATAGAAAGGAGATGGTTGACACAATGTACTCTTTTGGCAATTAAGGAAAAATTAATATTAAAAAGCTGCCTCTCAAATAGAGTCAATTAGGAAAATGTGATGAACTTGCTTAGAGTACAGATTAGAGGAGTTCAGTTTGTCTCAAATAGGAATCTTTTAAGTACCTTGTAAAAGAGTCATCACGGTCCTATAATGCTGTTTTATAGCCATTACAAATTAGATCAGCTATGTCTGTTCTTGTGGGACCTCATAGAGGGCTTGGGGATTTTTGTTTATTATTTTGTTAGATGTAACTGAAGTGTGTTTCACAGGAGTAGAGAGTAGCTACTCAGATGTCACTTTTGTACATGGCTCATCTGTAGAATTGAATTTTTAATTCAGATGTCAAAGTTTTTAATTCCTAAATCTTTCACCTTTAGCACCAGAAAAGTTGTGGGTTTTTTTTCCTGCAAATGTGTTATTTTACTGTTCATGAAACAAATGTGTGTGACTTGAGTGTTCAGGGACCATCCAGCCCAGAGTCCTGTTTTGTGAAGTCGCTACAAGCGTGATGGTATGATGGCTGGGGCATGGGCTGATGTTCCCCACTCTTCTATCCTCACCGGGAGCCATTACTGCATTTCCAGAAATGTAAAGGCCACTTGTTCAAAAACTTTATTCATGTTTCTGAACTTGAAGGGACTGAACCAGCAGAGTTTTGACTGAAAATATGCCATACGTTTTAAAGATGAATATTGATACAAATCTGTGTTTTCAGTGTGTGATTCCAGTGATGGGGCTTAGGAGTTCTTCTGGGGTGTTGTGTCTGAGCACCAAGCTGAACTGCCTTGTCATAACCTGTGAGGTTTAACAATGACACTTTAATAATGTGACCAGCCATGGTAAAAATGACCTGATACAGACCTAGGAGAAAGCAATGAAGTGGTATTGGCAGAAAGCCCAAGTTAGTGGCTGATCCAGGATGAGTGACAGTTAATGAACTTAAAGTTACACCAAGCCAAACTGATTCACTCTGATTCATTAACAGACTTGGGCAAAAAAATCTTGTTACGAAATAGGGATTTGAAACAAAATTCAGCATTTCCAAATGAGAGAATACAGTAGAAAATGCATTTAATAAACTAATGGGTAGTACAAACCTCAAAACCTGCAAAAATCATATAAATCAAAACGGAATACGTGAGCTTGCATTAATTGGGAAGAAATATCCAAAGGGAATTTCATCAAGATTCAATATGCTGATACTGTCTTAGTAGCATGAATGCAAACTCGCCAGGAATCGCAGCAGATAAATGAAACATGTTGGTATTTATTAGTAGCCACTTGGGAAGGATTTGGGCTTTGAAGGGTCCCTCACATGGGTCTGCAGCATAGTGGAGGTCACCTTTGTGCCAGGGGAAGTCTGCGTTCGGGTACCAGGTGAGGGCAGGATGTTGGTTACTGACTGTTCTGGGTGCACTGGGTTAGGAATCAGTCTAGGCCAAGGTAAAATGTGGAATCTTCTTTAATGGGCTTCAAAAATGGGCAGCAGTTTGCAACAGCTCCAGTGGGCTGCTGCACTTTGCATTTGAGCAGCCTTTACCTGCTGTTAGCATGCTGCCTGCTAAGGGAAGGCGGGGGGGTGGAAGTTCTGCAGTGCTGCATGGGGACAGGGAAAACATCTTTGGAAAAGCCGCTGTAAAATTGTACCTTGACACTCAAAACCAAGGGGTGGTTATATGGAAAATGAGGGAGCTACTATTCTGCTTTGCCAACAGTAAGATCGCAGTCAGAGCACCGTCTTGGTTTTGGCATGGTACTGTGGGGCAACTGCTGACAAGCTGGAGTTAGCTCAGTAAAAGGCAGCTGAAGTGATTAAAAGATATAAAAAGCCAACCCATGCAGAATGAAGATGACAGCTGACAAACTGAATGAAGAAATACTTTTTTACAAGCACATGAAAGGTGCTTTAAATGGGGAGGAAGAGGGAAGCATCTTAGGTGAAGCTAGGACAGTGCACCGGTAATTGTATGATGTTTCAGGAGCTACTAGTGAGGACAGCAAGTATGTGGAGAACCTCCCTTCCTGCTCTTAAGGGAAATAATGTGGGAGGTTTGGTGTGGTAATACCTCAGAAGAATGATTCTGCTCAGACCTTATAAATTGAGGGGTGAACTGACTGACTTTTCTGGGAGCCAGTGACAGAGTTGTCATGCCTGGTCTGAGAGGATGCTCTAACAAGCGCAGACCCCACTGTAGTGGCATGCCTGGAGCTGTCTGACTGGCTGCGTAGCAAATCACAGAGCAATTGTGGTTGAGTGTAGCAGTCACTGTTTTCTGGCCAAATGGAAGATGGGGAAAAAGCTGAAGGTGATCCTGAGGAAGGACAGTTGTTTGCTAATGTGGCCTTTTGTAAGTCTACAAATGAAGAAATGTCATTTGAAGACTTTCAGATGTGTCTTTCAAACAGCAGGTGAATTTATGATGTCATGAGCTTATGATGTTATTATGATTTATGATGTCAGTTTATGATGTCATGAGCTTTATGATGTTATTACTGGTTGGGCATTAAAATGGACAGCTAGTTCAAACCCTATGTAACACATACTGCTTTATGCATTTTTTCAGAGCTGTGTCGAAACTTCAGTTTACTTAGTAGAAAATGGATGCTACCACACGACTGCTAAGCCTTCTGCATTCCTCACCTTACATTTTAACAGCAATGAAGCTTGCATACTCTGAACATCTCAATAATATTCAGTGCTGTACTGGGACCAGTCTAATCTTGTGTGCTGTCCTCCTAATCTGCTTATGTCTGTTTAACGTGCTTATGGAACACTTCACAGTAGGTTGTACAGTGTATTTCTGTTAAAGGATTTTACATTTTTTCACTCTGTGTGTGGCACAGAACACACGATCAGAATGAGGCACAGTGTCGTACCAGCTGGCCTCAGGGAAGTGATGAAGCTTGGTGTGCCATAGCCCTCGGGTTTGAGAAGCTGGAGCTCTTTTTCCCAGCTGTGTAGGCAGAAAAGCTGTGAGGTACCTAGAGGAGAATTCAAAGTTCATATGTGCTTGAAGAACGATTGCTTCACACGTTCTACAAAACCTCACATATTCCTGGAGGATGGTCTCTTTAATCTCTTTAGGAGATCTCACATGGTCTGTTCCATCCCAGTGGAAGCAATCAAGTCTGCTCATTCTTCCCTTAGATGGACAATTATACCATGTGCATGAATGATTTTCAAGTATTTGCATGCTACTACTTGTGTATTGTAGGAAGGACAAATATACTTTAAGTCTTGATAACCTGTTATTTGAGTTTAAGCATGTTGTTTTTCCCCCAAATACATAATACAGTTATCTGATTGTTTTTAAACCTCTACTTTTGAAGGATTAAAAATGTTATTTTCTTGCTTTTTAGCCATTTCCACTGGTTTCCTCTTCACGCTGGTTAGTGAAAAGAGGCGAATTAACAGCGTATGTGGAAGACACTGGACTTTTTTCTAAGAGAACTTCTAAGCAGCAGGTGTACTTCTTCCTCTTTAATGATGTCCTCATTATCACCAAGAAGAAGAGGTAAGAGTGTCACCAGCATAACACTGCCTTTGTGTTCAGCTCCTTGAAGTCACAGAGAGAACAGCCAAGTTACAGTTGTCTTTTAAAGTTACTGTGACTGTTGCGTGTGCTTCACCCCAGGGGAAGGGAACACGGAAGCTTCCTGGCTTCTCATGGCACGTGTTTAGCAATGACGAGTAACTACTAAACAGGATTTATTTTTGGCAAACACTGCCAAAAGTCCAAATTGTCAAACTAATTTGAAGAGTTCATCCTTAGTGCCTTAGCAATGGGAGAAGTTTGGGAAGGATAAAGAGGTAATGTTTATTCCCCTCCGTGCTTTCCACAGTTGGGCTGCTTTGGGGAGTGATGTGTGGGAGACAGCTCTAGCAGTCTCCATTTTACCACTAGATTTGATGAGAGGTTTAGACAAATTGAACAGAATGTACATTCTCTGCTGTTGCTATTAGATACTACTTGATAGATAAACCTTATTCTGGGACTAAAAACTGTTTTCAAACAACTGTTTTCTTTTTCTCTGGGTTGGCCAGTTAAGCCAAATACTAGCTATTTTTAAAAGACACCCTTCAAATTCATTATTTAAATAAATTTTGAGGAATGAGGTACGGTAGAAAATCTGTGAAGAAAATGCTAATACTTAAGAAAACTAAATGAGAATGGAGGAGAAAAATATTAAGTGAAGATTTTGGGTTTTTTTAATAAAGATGGGAAGGCAAGTGAGTAGATTTCTCCCCAGCTATCTTACTGATGTGAACACGTTTCTGAGATTCAGTGTTTATCAAAGCTTATGCTGAAATGCTTCTGTGAAAGTCCCTTGTTCGATCCCTGGCAGCACATCAGAGCCGCATCACACTTCTTTGAACAGTGTGTTTCTTCTCTTATGGGACTGCTGTTAACATACTACTGTGCTGGTAGCTAAGTAAATGTTGGAGTTGGGAAAACGGTGACGCATCTATTATCTGTGTTGTTACATTGTTTATTGGTTTCCTATGTGATAGCCTGGTATCCAGATTATAAACCAGATTTTTATAACAACGTATCTTATCCAAAATTTGGGATTTATGACAGCTGCGAGCTGTTGGAATTGAAATGTCCTAAAGGGGCCCAGAGGTCAAAATTGGAAGAACGCTTCATGTGGATGATCAGGTTCATAGTCACTTTCAAGACCACCTAAACAAACAGATATGATTGAAAAGCACTAATTCCTGCAAGCCTCCCAGATATTCTCAGCATGAAGCATGTGCTTTGCCTGAGTGAATCAGCTTCTTAATAGGAGTTGAGTTCTGGGTAATATGTTTTCCCACCCCCAGTGTTACCATGGATGCCACAGCAGTGGACAGAAATACTTGTTGCTGGTTGAGTTTAAATGTTTGTGTTTCAGAAGATTCTTGACATTGTTAAAAAAAATAAATAAATCCTTCCTCGTTACTGTGCTAAAAATACTAATTGCTTAGTGCCCCAGTCGTGCTGTGCACCCTCACCCAGAGTTAAGCTCCAGCCATCCCCTCTGCGCGGTTTGCCATATATGTAGGACCTCGCACAGGCAGCCAGCAGTGGCTCGGTCCTAACTTCTCAAGGGCTAGGCTTGGTGGGACCTGCCAGAAATGTCATGTGGGTAGCTGTGGAGTAACTCTGCTCCAGCCAGGTAGGGCATATGTCACTGCTCCCATCTGTGTTTCAGGGACACTTGCCAGATGTCAGACTCATTATCTGAAGAACTGCGTCTTTTAACACTGAGTGAGCAATGGGCCCAGAAACCTGTTCATAATGAGAACTGTTACATTTTAGCTGTAAAAAAAAGATAAAGAGAGGTCTTGTGGTGGTGTATCCTCAAGGCATGCTCCTGAGTTCACAACATCATAGAATGGGTTGAGTTGAAGGGACCTTAAAATTTTAATGCATTACCTTGATAAGAGCAGTCAGTGCTAGCATGTGTCAGGATGTCCACTTCTTGGTGGAAGGGACAGCTTTTGTATGGTTGGTGCACAGGAAGGTACTAGTTAAGTCTTACACATGTGAACAGAGATGTTGTCTGGCATGAAGCAAAGAGCTGGGTGATGTTTGGAGCACTCAGTATATACTTCAGAGTTGCCTGTGCAGTCAGTGGAGAAGGCAGGTCCCTTTGGAGAGCAGTTCTGAGTTGGAAGTCTAATTCAGCTTGTCCAGATTGCCCTCCAGAACAGTGTCTTTCATTCTCTGACTCTTCAGGTAACTCTGGGAAATGAAATGGAGAAATTTGGAAAGATAAATGTTGTGAATACTCTGCAAAGACCCAAGTGTAGACTGACTTCAAGTAACCTAAATATTTCACCTATTCTTTCAGCTTTGTGGTAGTGTTTTACCAATCATAGAACCATGGAATACCAGATTGGAAGGGACCTCAGGGATCATCTGGTCCAACCTTTGACTTCTGTTCTATTTATCCCCTTGCTGTACTGTGAATTGCCACCATTTTGGCCATGACATCCATTACAGGGACCAGAAAACCAATAGCTTATGCTGACATTGGGTTTTGAAGGTAGTATTCTGACCCAAGGAGTAATTAATCTTTTAGAGTTGTTCTTTTAAGCTGCCTCAGCTAGTCAGAAGATGCACCAGTTAGTTACATCCTGTATGCTTCTGGGAAATTTCAGGTGAGCTCCAGAGGGGCTTGTATTTTTGAATGAGTGTACATTCATGGAATACTCTGTTGTTGGTAATCCCCTAAGGAATCCCCTACCACTAGAATCCTGTCTGTCTTAGTGGCTCTGGCTTATCATCTCTGGAGGTGCCTCAACAGCAGAATGCAGCTGGACTTCATACACTGGATTCACCCTGAGGTTCAAGGCTGCTTGCAAATCCAGGGTTTTCTCTTTAAATGCAGGAGTGATTTTGTAACTAATGGCAAGCACAAATGCAAAGTAACTTCTGAAGAAGACCAAGGACTGCAGAGTAGTGTAGCTGGAAAGAGTAAAGGGGATAAGGGGGACTATGAGCTTGCTGTTAAAGCATGGGCAACCAGAACAGATGATACTAAAGCAATAGATAATTTGTCTTCATAAAAGCACCTCTAAAATGAGTACACATTCCCTGCAAAGGAGTAAAAAATAGTCCTGTTGTTTCATGTTCTGAATTGAAATAAAAGTTTAGCAGAAAAGTTCAGTCTTAGGCTAAAAACAGATGTGGGCCCGTTCATATTAGTTGATGATGGTAATTCTAAAGGACATGTTACTCCACTGCCTGGCTGCATGGTTCTGTTCATAACACATCTGTGTGCATCAGCACTTCCAGCTGTGTCAGCGTCTTTCATTACCTATTTGGAACAAGGAGAGTTTATGGGCCTCATGGGGCACAGGAAGAAAAATGGTGAGGACTGCCTGGTAGTGTCAAATTGGACTATTTTGTTGAATGGAGACAAGGAAGAGGAAGGATTTGTAGAGGTTTATCTCTGACTTTTTAGTAAGGAATGCTTTTCTTACTAGTTATGCCAATGTGTAGACTGCATCTCTTTTTCAGACAGAAGATTCCCAAAGAACTACAGCAGCATCCCTTGCTGGTTTTGCAAGCTCCATCTTGGCTAGGCAGGGATTCTCAGACTGGAATACTGAACCGACTTCTTTAAAACAAACAAAACCCAACAAACCCAAAAGCCCCCACTCCAGTCACACCAGCCAGCCTTTTCCTGGTTTAGAGTTTATATTTTAAGAAAAAAGAGGAAAAGTGGGGGAGACTGATAAATATTAGGTTAAAAAAATGTTTTTTCCTTCTTCAGTAGGTACCCTCAGCTACTGTGGGTGGCACCCAAAACAACTGCCTTCAAGGGATAGATAAGTAGCATCTTTTTGCAGATAAATGAGTGAATTTGAATCTGGAGGTGGATTTTAGGGGAATGTGAAACGTGAACCTCCTCTCACAAACTCTCTTAAAACACACTTTTATACAGTAGGACAATCCCCGTAAATGCAAGTGTGTTACGTTTCAGGGATGAGCTGTGTGTGTGTCTTTCCAAAGGAAAAGGATGTACAGAATACATTTGCATTAAAATTCCAGGGCTCAGCAGCCCTGAGTTAGTTACATATGCAGAAATTAAAATCTATCTTTCTACATGCTGATATGTTGAAGATTTCTCCCAGCTTCTCACTGTGCTCATGTTAAATGGCTTTAATTAAAGCGAAACCTATCTGTAATCTGTATTTTTTCTACTTTGGGACCCAAGAAGTCATGTGTAAAAGCACAATTAACCTGGCTTCATTCTTACAGAGCTTTGGCAAAGTTTGCTCCTTCCCTCTCATTTCCTTTTTACTCTTAAGGAATATGGAAGCAGCAGACTAATCAAAAGTGAGCTTAATCAAAGCTATGTGGAGAGGTTTGAGATCTATTTGAAGTTCTTGCAACGGTGCTTTTGGAAGTTGTGGTATGTTTGTGCCTTTGTCAGTTGTACCTGAACAGGAGTTGCGATTCCAGGTGAACTGTGGGGAATTGTTGGTCCCGTTTTGAGACTTGGAGAAAACTAAATGGGGAAGAAAAATGTTATCTTCTGAACTACAGTGATTTCAGTGCTGCTATATGATAAATCTTACTAAGCTTCTCTGTCATTGCTTCTGGTTTCTTTATAAAGACCCCAAGCTGCTCGACAAAAGGTATTTGCAAGAATTAGTTCTATTAGTATCATGTTCTGTCATTTGAGAATGTACAAAGCTGTACTGCAGAAACCCCACATTTCAAGTATTTAATTCACAGAACAAAAGTAAAAGCATACCCCATGTAATTGAAATAAGAACTTTCACACTAGATGCACCGGCAGGACCTATTAATCCACAAAAATCCACAAATACAATATGATCTGTAAGCCTGTTGTCACTTGAAGAGTAGAGAAATTAATCGCATCCTGTACAAGTTACAGGGATCAGCAATGACTTAACGTTTTGAGTCATAGTGTTACAATGTTGCTCAGTTGTGTTTTAGCAATTCTTCTGAAGGATGAAAAACGGGAATTACAAAGATCATTAAGTTAACTGTCAAGGTATTGGCAGGTATTTTCCCAACAGCCCACAAAATGGGGAGCATGTATCCCAACAGCTGTTACGTAGTCATCTCTCCATTTTCTTACATTATCTGAGCAACCATACAGGAAGAACACGCTTCAGTTACACCTGCCAGAAGGAGTATGTCACCATCAGCATTTCAGATGGCTTAAGTTCCAGGTGTTTGGGATTTGATTTGTGTCAGTTCAGTGCTTGGGGTTGTGTGGATCTCTGGCATCTCAAGTATTTTTTCAATTTAAATTCTCTTAATGAACCATAGCAAACTGAGGCTCTAGCACAGCTTTTCATCAGTCGAGATTGAGATCTAAATAATGTTTTACTTTAAAGTGGAGTATATATAGCTGCTCCTTAAAGATTGATCTGTTTGATTTACTGCAAAATTCGATAAACACAGCAGAGGATGGGCTAGGAGGGAGAGCTGGTTTGGTGCCTCTGTAAGCGGGTGTTTTTTCTATCTTTTCTTGTGATACCACTGTAAGACAATAAATCTGGCAAAGTTTATCAAGCTTAGATGAAATTATGAGGTAATCAGTTTATCACTGTTCTGGGTTTATGATAGATCCTGGTAAACCTGCAAATGCATGTAAGGCAATGCTGGGAAACATTTTGCTTCAGTGGAAGCAAAAAAAGCTTTTTTGGGTGATCAGTCTTTCCTTGCGATCACTTGCTGTTTCTTGAGTAAGTGACGTAGATTCTTTTAACTGTTTGTGGGCTTTTTAGGTTTTTTTTACCTGTATTTCACAACTTGAAAGGTTGGGAACACACCATGATTTTCCACTAGAAAAAAAAAAAAGTTTCCAGTATTGTCTTGATACGAGTAAATAGCAAAACCAACAGACACGAGAACTGTTTGAACTCGCATCAGAGCTCTGAAGATGTCTGGGTATTCAGAAGTTGAAGCATGAGTCATTAACTGCATTCTGACAGATGAGCAGTATGCCTTGTCCGGATATGCTTCTTCCTGTCTCTGCAAGGCCTTCACCTGCCAAGATGATTTTGATTAGCTCAGGTGAATCTCACATTTAGAAATAAAAGGCTGCTGTGAAGGGAAGAATGTGTATTTTCATTTAAGTCCTGTTGTTAAAATCAGTAACACTTTTATGCTCTGATTTGTGATGTCTGATGTTCTGTCCCCTGCTCCACCTGCATTTCAAACCTAGGGAAAGTAAAGCTGCTAACTTAAATAATTTCTTAGAATTCTTTCTGGTCACGTTGGGAAGTTACTACGTGCACATAGCAATCTTTATCCATATCACTTAGAGTTGGTATAGTTATTTACAAAGTACTCTCTCTAAGAGGTAAATTGCACAATGTTTTTGCAAGAACAATAGTGTGTGAGAAGCCTTTGTCCATTTTTAAAATTATTTAAAACGTATTATTAAAATTATGTAAAAGTATTTAAAGTGAAGCTTGGTGGTGGTCATCTGGAATCAGAGCGCAGATTTTTAGGGGGCATTTTACAGGGACAGGAGCAGGGAAACTTTTTTTTTTCCCCTTGTAAAATTCAGGTCTGATGTTCGTTTGAAGCTACAGAAGTAAAAATGAATTTCTAGGTAATTGCTGTGCCTGATTTCCTATTCAGTGGAGTAAAGCCGAGCTCACTCCACCTCAGGAACACCAAAGTCATTTAACTGTGCTGCTAAATTACATTCTGTGGGGTTTAAAAACTGATCTACTTTGTGTCTTGGAAAATTGGTACTTTCAAAAACAAATAAACAGAACAGATGAAGATCTGAGGTGCCATACTGTGTCATTAAAAGTGGATTCTGTGACTTAGTTTGCTTCAAAACATAATTAATGGAAAATGAAACATTAAATTGGTGGGGGTTTTTCTTCCCTATTTTGTTCTGCAGTGAGGAGAGTTATAATGTCACAGATTATTCTTTGAGGGACCAGCTGGTGGTACAACAGTGTGACAGTGAGGACCTGACTTCTTCTCCTGTAAAGAACACTTCAGCTATGCTATACTCACGGCAGACTTCTGCAACTCACCTCTTCAGACTACTGGTCCTCAGTAACCATGCGGGAGAGAAGGTGGAGATGCTCCTGGGAACAGAGAGTCAGTAAGTGAATAGTTACCATTTCTGTAATTTTTCACCTCCCAACCCATCTGAGTTTTAGGCTGTCAGCAACAACATTCCCATCTCACCCTGTGGCACACCGTGCTGCTGTGCACGCTGAATAGTTGAACATGTGAATCTAGGTATAATGTGGGTTACTACAAGGAGAATGTTACTTTTACTGTTGTAACTTAGGGAAGCTTTCTTGATACCTACCTTGGTGAGAAGACCTTGAATAATCAGACTGCAGAGATTCATTTATGTTTGCTCTCTCTGATGCTTTCATGTGCTGGTTTGTTCCTTACAGGTTTAAAGTATCTTACCCTAATTGTCAATTCTTTTAGCAGTATGGTGTTTACACTGTATTGTTTGTACACAGAGCACAGTACTATCAGGAGGAAACTGGCACAGGTATGTCCTTAGGCATGATGGTGGTTGCCGGCAAATCATGTTAGGGTATGAATGCAGAATGCTTTTGTCCTGGAGGAGTGATTTGTGAGTTAGTTATTGTAACAGTTGGATGGTGCAGAAGTGGAACAGTACTGGATTAAATGGGAGGAGGCTGGTGTTGCCCTGCAGAGCTGTGCTGGGATAGAGGTGGTCCTTGTTCTCCTGACAACAGTTTTCTGCTTTAGAAATGAGCAACAAGAAGTGTCTTGTTCTGTCGGGAGCACATATCCAAGAGGCCGTCATCTTGCTATGGTGCCATTAACTTCTACACAACCCTCCACAAAAGTGAAAGATTTTATCTGTTCTCGTGGAAGCTGGAGGCGGGAGGGAAGACATGAAGCAGATGTAGCCCAGCCTGGAAAACTTTAGTTTTAGGTTTGCTTTCAAAGTTTAGAATAGCCCTGAAAGAAACGATAGATCATTAATGATTTCCATTAAAGATCTCATTATAAAGTAAGCTGATGATTCAGACGTGTTTGGAAATGCGTTTTTATTGGGAAAAAAATGCAGGACATTTTTAGTTGTCTGGGCTTTTTATGAAAAGAAATTTTGTTCTGCAGATGTATTATTGATTTGCTGTATACTGTTTGTCATATAAATAGTCCAACAGATTGTCATTCAGAGAAAAAAGATTCTGAAAACAGTTACTGTGTTTGGAAATTACCTGGTTTTATAGAGCATTATCCTGTATACAAAAGTTACAGGAAATAACCTTCTCTTAGCTTTGAGAAGGTCAGGAAGGGAATCTGCAGTGGGAACCCCAAGCTGAATGGTTTAGAGTGCTCACTGAATAGAGTTAAGTTTTAGATGTACAAAAATGTTCTATCTGCCTTGTCTCTTCATGTGGTGTTTGGGTCCCAAGTACAAAAGTACCTGCATTAGGTCAGGACTTCATATTGCCCAGTGAATAAGGCACAAAATACACAGTACACACAGATTATAAAGAAATATACACTTAAACTGGAAAGCAGTCTGATATCTTTGCCTTTTTCTTAGAGTTGCCTGAAAGGAAATGTACTTTTCCTGTTAAGAATGGTTGGTTACAGGGAAGGAAAATAGGAGTATAAATAACACCTTTTTCTAGGAAAACAAACAAAAAAAAAATCCCCAAACAAAAAGAAGGAAAAAAAAAAGCCCCAAACAAAAACCACCAAACCCCACCAGCCCCAAAAATGCAAAACAAACAAAAATCCACAAAGTTAATGAATCTAATGCAAAGTTGTTTACAGAGTTTCCTTTTTCTGGTTGCAGTACAACAAGTTTAGTACCACCTACTTTTAATGACTGAAGTGTAGCATATGCTGTAGTTTTGGCCACTGGTATGAGACCAACTGGCATCAAATGTTGGCAGGAGCCAGGCAGTAACTCATCTTTGAGGAAGAGTGGGTATTGGGATTTAAGAAAAATAATCACATTCTTATTAAATGCCATTAAAACAAAATCTTTCTATTCAAAGTAATGAGCTTCCAAAAGAAGCATGCACAGAAAGACTTCCATTCTGAATCCCGTTATCCCCAGGAAGTTTTCTGAGTCTGTGCCCAGAAAAGAGATTTCTTGAGCTATTTAAGAAAGGCTGTGAGAGAGCGTCAGTGTTTCTGAAAGAGAATGATGAACTTTATTGCAGAACGATGTGTAGTGGTGCTGAGCAGTGGTGCATCTTGGAAGACATGCTGTAGAGAATTCCCCAATAATTTGTGTAAATGTCCCATTCTGTGACACTTCTAAAGGGCCAGAATTTTCTATTTTCAGATGTTTCAGATTTTTGATAATACCAGGTCTCAGCAGCAAGCAGTTGTGTTTCTTTACACCAAAGATGGCAGCAAAAATTCTTCCTAAGGGGATGGAGAACAGGAAAATTCAGTCGTGCAATTCCCTTGTGTTATTATAAGCTCTACTGATAGCAAAGCCCCTCAACAAACAGGAGATAAAAATCTAATCTCACTGAGATGTTTGTTTTGGGAATAGAGTTCAAATTTTGATCTGCCAAAATTTGAAGCTGTAAAGATGAAGTTGTTATAGCTCAGTCGATAACAGGGGTGATTCAACATTAGCTTTCTTTTTCCTTTGCTGTTCAACATGACTTTAGCTTGTTCCACTTGCGTTCAAGATCAGTTGTTGGTAATTTGCACCTCTGTGATGCACTGTGTAATTAGAACCTAAATAATTCTTTCTGCTCTTCTCAGAGATTGTTTTTTTTTCTAGGTTATATACAAGGTGAGATTCAAATGGCTAATGTAGGCCTCTGCTAGGTCCTCACTTATTTGTGCTGACTCTCAGATATCCCACACTAACGTATCTGGAAACATAATGTGTTCTCCTTGAGAGCAGAGAAGCTTCAGTTCCCCCTTCCTACCTGCTCCCCTTCTTGCTTTCATTCTAAGTGCGCGGTGCAGATAGACAGTTCTTACTTACAGGAAACCTGTTGGTTGGTGTTGTGTGTTAAAATGGCTGTATCGGATTTATTTTTTTTTCTAAGTAATACTACTTAACAAGCATTAGTCACAGATCCTAGTGGAAAAGTTCACCTATGTTACGGAAAAATAGCTTAAGGTATATAAGACATCATATGTGTTTACAGGCTTCTTTTATACTCCAACCTGCTTAAAATAGTTAAATATGCTTGAATAATGTATTACTAGTAGTAGTATCACACCTGGCCATATTTTGAGAGGAGAAAAAAGCGGTTTTGTTATGCTTTACAGAGCCTTGAAAGGGGGAGTTATCAAGAGCATGAATTAGGAAATGGAGTTTTGTCTTTGCTGTTTGCAGGAGTGACAGAGCTCGCTGGATTACAGCACTTGGACAGGATGGAGATGGGCAGAAGATGGACAGGACAAGTAAGTTACAACTGATGAGATTTGTGAGACCTTTGGCAGAAGAATGGGAATGTGCTGCCCCTTAGCTGGAGGCATGAGCATGTGTAGAGTATATGTATCCTTAGAAATGCTTCTTTCTGTTTCTGGGCTGTGTTGCTTTAGTATACATGAAGTTGCCGTCTCTTCTGTGCTTGGGGGTTTCTTGGAGTAGTTCAGTTTCACAAAGTATTTTTAATTTGCATTCATTAATTATAGTTTGGCCAGTTGTTCCAGTCTGGTAGCAAAAGTGCAAAGTTCCTTCCCTTACATGTCCATCCAGTTTGTTCATGTATAATTGCTTAGACAGGAAGCCCTGTGCATAACTTGCTGCCTCCTTTATTGTGGTTCGTTTTTTATGGGTGTTTTTTTTTTTTTGTTTGGGGGGTGTACTCTAAAAAGGAAATGTTTAAATTAATTATATATGTATTTTCATAGAAGATGCTCTGTTATATGAAGGGTTTAATTCAGCCTGGCTTACTTTTTTCACAGCTTTGACTCAGGTAGAGATCATCAGAACCTACACAGCAAAGCAGTCAGATGAACTCTCTCTTCAGGTTGCTGATGTCGTTTTGGTTTATCAAAAAGTAAATGATGGTGAGTGAGTGAGAACTTTGCTGTCACTAACCACCTGTCACCACTGCAACTGATCCAGTTAGAAAAGTGTCTTTTCTAATGTCTGGTTGGACAATGAATTAGATTCCAAGAAACCCTTGAGCATTTCTGTTCAGGTTTTGGAAGGACAGCCTCTGATTAGGCAACAGGTATTCAAAGTATGTCCTGGCTGCTTGTAAGTTGTCTGCAAATGAGAAATAGAATTCTACCAAAAACCATGGGGCTCATGTAGGAATGCTTTTGTTTGTTTTATTGAGTAAGCACCAGGTTTGTGTAAGAGAAACATTTATGTTAATAGTCATGTTACACACTGTGCTTCACTGCCTGCTTTTGCCTGTTTGCCATAGCATCACATAACCCAAGATCAACATTGGTTCTTGCCTGGATGTGCAAGAGATTCTACTCATATCTCACACTGTGCTGACTCAGTGATGCTTGAAGCTCTCAGCACTTGACGTATGAAATCTTAATGATGTTATTCAGTATTACATACAAAAATCAAAGTCCCTAGCAGTTGTGCTGCATTGCTTTTGCTAGATTGCAGTGATATTGTAATCTTTATTTCAAAATATATTTGAACTACAATATAGAAATTTGACTGATTTCACGTAGTATTTATTTTTACATACTACTTTGTTCCTAGTCTACATGTATAAAAACCCATCTATCTTAAGAAGTAGCAGATTAAGTAGCTTCTTCTGCTACTTCCTGTGAAGATAAATGTATAATGTAGGTGATGACTGTGTCCACTCAAGTGCAACACACAAGAGTTCTAGCAAGTTACCTTTAACATCACTTGAAAAAGTTTGTTACTCTTTGTCCCTGCGCCTTGCAGGTTGGTATGAAGGGGAGCGGCTCCGAGATGGTGAAAAAGGCTGGTTTCCTATGGAGTGTGCTAAAGAGATCACATGTCGTGCCACGATTGACAAGAACATGGAGCGGATGGGACGCTTACTGGGACTTGAAACCAATGTGTAGTATTTGTGCTTCTTCATGCTGCACTGCAGGATTTGCACTAGCTGTTGTCAGTGGGCAGGGCTATGTCCCATGGCTAACACATGGAAGATCTGGGTCACCAATGTGAAAAACCTAGTTAAGGGAGCACTGATGGTTCAGACACTCATCCCTTTGTTTTGAGAGCTCTGAACTGAACGTTGCTCAACCATTAGCAGATTTCAGCTACAAGTAGTTTCTTAGGCACTGGAGATCAGTCACACATCTTTTTGACTTGAGTTTCAGTTTCAGCTTTAGTTCTTCCATCCCTGTCTCTTTAAGTATTCCTTCTCCCTCTGTTTTTGAGTATTTTGACTTTCTCTCGGAAGCAGAACTCCTTGCAGCAGTTAGTGTGGGAGGCTGAACACCTTACCCATCCACTGAGCTGGATATAAACAGCAACAGAGGGGGTTTCCTGTTCCTGAGAAACTGCAGCATTACAGTCCCAGTACCAGACAGTATGTTACTAGGATACTCCCTAGTTGTGTCAGAATCCATGTGTAGAATAACCAATCCTGTAATTCATAAAGGACTACCTCTCCAGCAGAAACCCAGGGAAATCCCAGGCCTTGTATGAAGCGATTGTCTCTCTCTTCAAAGCTAGCAAAGCTGACACAAGACTTTCTCTTCTCTTCTCTTAGTGCTGCAGTTCTGAAAGGATTTCTGAAAGCAAGAAACAGCAGACTGCAGAATGTATGATGTTGATTGTCTTGGTCTCAGATCCATATTAGCACAGGTGTTTTAAAGGAGTGTAACTGCTGGAAATGTCTGGGTTTTTTTTCAGGCAAAAAGGCACGAGAGAGGTAGATAAAACGTTACTGGGACTGTGCTGCATTGGTGCTGCTTCACATGTGCTCTTCTCTGTTCCAGAGAAGACCTCTCACAATTGCACTACACACACCACCTGCTAAATTTTAGCATCTGCAGTTTAGCTTTGGAATTTCACAGAAAACCACCACTACTTCATGTTGTGTGAAGAAAATGCACTCAAAAATAAAGTAGATTTCAGTGCATATTTTTGTATATAGGTGTGACAGTTTGTATTATAAAAGCTTTCACCTTTTTAAGGACCAGCTGGTAACTCAGCAGGGCAGAAAACACTTTCAACAAAAATGATGGGAAAAGTTGCAGTATCAAGGCTTTCTCCTTGTTAGATTCCCCACCTTTGTTAAAGGGGGTTGTATGTTTTATGTACTGCAGTTATGTTAATTTGATGTGAGTGAATTGGATGTTTATAAAGATTTATCTCTGTACCAATTTACAATACATTAGGCAATAATTTTGCACAAAAACACCTGACAGTCTGACAGCAGTTATAGAGCCTTGTAAATTAAGTGAACTAATAGTAATGAGAGAAACTGTAAATTGAACAGACTATTTAACATAGTAAAAATACTGCTAATATTTTAACAAATTGTGTTGTACACAGGCAGATGTTTAACACAGCTGAATGTATAAATCCAGACATTAATTTTATTCAGATTTTTTTAATACATTGTATATATTTTTCATACCTAGTTTTTAAAAAAAGCTCTAGTGATTTTTAAAGACTTTTTTCATTTTTACTATTGTTGGACACAGTTTTTTGGGAATTAGAGACTATTATGACTTTATAGGACAACAATCAATAAAATGCTTTTAATTCCTTACTAAAAAAGGTTTGTTTGTTTTTTTTCTTTAATAAATACCATTACACTGCAAGTTATTAACATAGAAGTGAAAGCCAAAGAACTGAAATCTCTTCTGTAACCTTTGGCATTTTAAATTTTCTGTTCTATAAAGACAAATACCACCACCCTGTGTATTACTGCATGTCCCGGATCCAACTTACATGCATACCTCTGAACTTGGAAAATGGCATAAAATGCCTGGGAGAGCATCTCATCTCTGAGATTGTATTTAAGGAGAATGAGTAGGAAAACAGTCAGGAACATAAGACTCTTCGGCTACCTTTGCAGTTATTTATAATGCATAACTTAGTATAGATACGCAAAGATGACCATTACTTGTATCAGTGCTGAGAGCTTGGGCCTCCCCACTGGCCCCAGCTGTGATCCAGGAACCCCAGGAGAGGGGACAACTGCTTTGCTAGTGCAGGTGCAGCAGCTACACTTGCATTCCTTTATGTTCACCACAACTGCATAAAGGATCAAAATATATATACACAGAAAAGTTACTTTATGGTTAGCTGCTGCAGCAGCACTTCCTGAAGAACAGTGAGTTTTCCAAGGAAGCAGATGAATCTATCATATTTTCTAAACTACGTGACACCCCCATGCATAGGAATTAAAGACTGCACTGCAAATCTGTTTAGTGTAGCATCAGTATGTTTCTGGAAGAGGCATCTAGCAGGCACAACACCGATACCTAGCATGAGCTCCTAAAATCTTTGACTTTCACTCTAAATTCCACTGTAGCTCAAAGAGGGTTTAGAAATTTAAGACAGCCTGCCAAGCAATTTATGTAGAGTTTGTACAAGCAAGTTTTCAAAAGCTAAGAGTTTCTTTTGTTGTTGCTAGAAGGGGGAAAAGAAAACACATAAAACCCAAAGCAGTACAAAGCAACTCCCCAATATTTGCATTAGCAAAACCAAGTCATCTTTGACTTGCTCTAAGGTAAGTACTTCCATTACAAAGGAAATAGTCTAAAGAACTCCTTCACTACTGTCACTAATCAGTGGGCACATGTGCACAAACACACACGCACATGCTCTCTTTCCCTCATGCCCAAGGAAGAAGACTTGACACTAGTATCTCCTTTTTAATTAAACAGCTCAGTAGTGACAGAATACAGCTAGGAGTTTGTTACCAATGAATTAACTTTCATTTCTGCAGAGCCTGGAATTTGTACCACTTCCTTGCATGACTCCTCCAATGAGGTCTTCAGCAAGTTGACCAAAGTAAAAGACTCAGTTCCCTGAATCAAGTTTCATTTTACACAGTGCCATTAGATACTCATTATTTATGGTGGGCAGAAACCACGCAAAGTCCAAGCTGTAGGACTAGCCCTGAGAACAAACCCCAGTTTATATTTACTCCTCACTGAAGCCAAGACCATACAGAGTGTCAGCATTGCCAGGGGAAAGAACCCACTCAATCCTGAAGAGCTGAGATGCCTGCATGTGGTTTGTGAGCTCCTGAGGGCCACCAAGCACCCTTCAGAACCAGAGCCACCTGACTCAGCATTTCCAAGTACTCTGATGACACATCTAAATAACAGTTAATACTATCATTAATCTTCATGCTTTATATCATCCCTGTGACACAATAAATAGAACACTTTTATCTGGCAAACTTAAAAAAAATGCTATAATACCCTATTCTTCTTGACTTTCATGTCAAAGCATACATTTGTTCTCCATTACCCAAAGCTAATTTGCTGAAAATAAAGAGCTAAAAGTAGCACTACTTTAGTCAATCTACACAACCTGAGGAAATGCAAACACCGTGCACCATCATATTTACATGTACATACCTTAAACTCTGTATCTATAGGCTACATTCACACAACATATTCTTTTCCTGGTGTTGTGGTTTAAAACCCAGCCAGATAGCTTGTTCACTCGCTCCCAGTGAGTGGTGCTGGGCTGGAAGCAGTCGAGGCTCCCCCCCTGGGGCTCTCCCCCTCCCCACTCCCAGAGGGATGGGGAGGAGAATCAAAAGAGTGCAACTCCCACGGGTTGAGACAAGAACAGTCCAGCAACCAATGTACAACGCAAATCACCACCGCTACCACCAACGACAACAATGATAAGAGAAAATAACAAGGGAAGAGAATACAATACCACCTGCCGAGAAACAAGTCTGACCCAGCAGACCTTGTGTCCTTCCGGGTAACTCCCAGTTACCCCCCCAGGCATGACGTGCTGTGGTATGGAATACCTCTTTGGCTAGCCTGGGTCAGGTGTCCTGTCTCTGCTTCCTCCTGGCTTCCCCTCCTCCCTGGCAGAGCATGAGCCTCACAAAGTCCTTGGTCAGAGTAAACATTACTTAGCAACAACTGAAAACATCGGTGTTATCAGCACTGTTCCCAGGCTGAAAGTCAAAGCACAGTGCTGCACCAGCTACCAAGAAGGAGAAATGTGACTGCTACTGCTAAACTCAGGACAGTATCCACCCCTTATTCCATACCATTCACGTCATGCTCAGATCCCACATTTTCAATACACCATCGCTCTCTCACATATATACATCCATATACACACAGACCAAGAGAAAGAGATAATTTTCTTAGTACATGGACCAATCCCTATAATGCTGCCGAGTCCATTTGGTCCATGATGTCAGGTTCCATCTCTTGTAACAATCTTTCAGGGCAGGAAAGGCTGTGTGCAGTATTGAATCATTGTCTGCTGATGCTGGTCGTTCCTTTACTGCAGAACTCGTCCGGTTCTATCAAAGTTCATTCTCTGTTGGGATGATGGTTGGAGGGAAGTCAGGGGCAGTTGCTGGTGACCTGAAGACATCTAGTTGATGAGCTATAAAAGTATTACACAGCAGGCAACAGCATACAATTAAGTTCACTGGCTGTTTTCCCCTAAAATCAAATCCCTTTGAGGTATACATCGGACTTCCCCATCTTCCCGCATTACCCACCAAGTATATCCAGGTCCCTGAGCAAAAGCAATCCCACGAGTGGGTTTGCCTTTACCTGAAGCAGGAATAACCCAGACTGTCTTCCCCAGCAAATTCTTCATATGCACCACGGGAACTTTGTCCCTCTCTACAATATGTAAAAGTTCTGACTGGGCTGGGCCAGCCTTGTTGGCAGATCCTCTGGTGTTGACCAACCAGGGGGCAACCAGGCTGCACCCGGGCAGCAATATCTTTCCACAGTGCAGCAGCCCAGATGGGTTTACCTCTGCGTTGCCAGTTGCTCTGCTTCCATATCTTCAACCACCCCCACAGGGCATTTGCCACCATCCATGAGTCAGTATAAAGTACCGGCCACTTTTCTCGTTCAGCAATGTCCAGGGCCAGCTGGATGGCTTTCACCTCGGCAAACTGACTCGATTCACCCTCTCCGTCAGCAGTTTCTGCAACTGGTCGTCCAGGACTCCATACAGCTGCCTTCCATCTCCGATGCTTTCCCACAATACGGCAGGACCCATCAGTAAACAAGGCATACTGGTTTTCACTTTCTGACAGTTTATTTTATGGTGGGGCCTTTTCAGCATGAATCACCTCCTCCTCTGGTGACATTCCGAAATCTTTGCCCTCTGGCCAGTCCATGATGACTTCTAGAATGCCTGGACGACTGAGATTTCCTATTCGAGTTCATTGTGTAATTAGTGCAGCCCATTTACTCCATGTAGCATCGGTTGCATGATGTGTAGAGGAGACCCTGCCTTTGAACATCCAGCCCAGCACAGGCAACCGGGGTGCCAGGAGGAGCTGTGCTTCAGTGCCAATCACTTCTGAAGCAGCTCGAACCCCTTCATAGGCTGCCAGTATCTCTTTCTCAGTTGGGGCATAGCTGGCCTGAGATCCTTTGTATCCCCGACTCCAAAAGCTGAGGGGTCGACCTCGAGTCTCCCCTGGAGCTTTCTGCCAGAGGCTCCAGGTAGGACCGTTCTCCCCAGCTGCAGTGTACAGCACATTTTTTACATCTGGCCCGGTCCGGGCAGGTCCAAGGGCTACTGCATGAACTATCTAACGTTTAATTTGCTCAAAGGCTTGTTGTTGCTCAGGGCCCCATTTAAAATCATTCTTCTTCTGGGTCACATGATAGAGAGGGCTTACAATCGAACTGTAATTCGGGATGTGCATTCTCCAGAACCCCACAGCACCCAAGAAAGCTTGCGTTTCTTTCTTATTAGTTGGTGGAGACATTGCTGTTATCTTGTTGATCATATCTGTGGGGATCTGTCTACGTCCATCTTGCCATTTTACTCCCAAAAATTGAATCTCCTGTGCAGGTCCTTTGACCTCACTGCGTTTTATGGCAAAACCGTCTTTCAGCAGGATTTGGATTATTTTCCTCCCTTTCTCAAAGACTTCTTCCGCTGTATCGCCCCACACAATAATGTCATCAATGTATTGCAGGTGTTCTGGAGCTTGCCTCTGTTCCAGCGCAGTCTGGATCAGTCCGTGGCAAATGGTAGGGCTGCGTTTCCACCCCTGGGGCAGTCGGTTCCAAGTGAACTGGACACCCCTCCAAGTAAAAGCAAACTGTGGCCTGCACTCTGCTGCCAAAGGAATTGAGAAAAATGCATTGGCAATGTCAATCGTGGCATACCACTTGGCTGCCTTTGACTCTAGTTCATACTGAAGTTCTAGCATGTCCGGTACGGCAGCACTCAATGGTGGTGTGACTTCATTCAGGCCACGACAGTCTACTGTTAGTCTCCATTCTCCATTAGACTTTCGCACTGGCCATATGGGGCTATTGAAGGGTGAGCGGGTCCTGCTGATCACCCCCTGACTCTCCAGTCTACGGATCAGCTGATGGATGGGAATCAGGGAGTCTCGGTTGGTGCGATATTGCTGCCGGTGCACTGTTGTGGTCGCAATTGGCACTTGTTGTTCTTCGACTTTCAGCAACCCCACAGCAGAGGGATCTTCTGAGAGACCAGGCAAGGTGGACAGCTGCTCAATTTCCTCAGTCTCCAAAGCAGCAATACCAAAAGCCCATCGGTACCCTTTTGGGTCTTTGAAGTACCCTCTCTTGAG